TTTTTTTTTTTTTTTTTTTTTTTGAGATGGAGTCTTGCTCTCTTGCCAGGCTGGAATGCAGTGGTGTGATTTTTGCTGACTGCAACCTCTGCCTCTAGGGTTCGAGCAATTCTCCTGCCTCAGCCTCCCAAGTAGCTGGGACTACGCGTGTGCCACCACGCCCGGCTAATTCTTCTATTTTTAGTAGAGACAGGGTTTCACTGTGTTGGCCAGGATAGTCTCGATCTCTTGACCTTGTGATCCACCCACCTTCGCCTCCCAAAGTGCTGGGATTACAGGTCCAGCTAATTTTTGTATTTTTAGTAGAGACGGGGGTTTCACCATGTTGGCCAGCCTGGTGTCGAATTCAAATTTTAAAACTAAGTTTGGTGTGATGGCACGTGCCTGTAGTCCCAGCTACTTGGGAGGCTTAAGCGGTTGGATCCCTTGAGCCCAGGAGTTTAAGGCTGCAGTACCACTATCTGGGTGACTAGAGACCCCCATCTTCAAATGCAATATATATATAAGCCGGGCATGGTGGCTCAGGCCTATAATCCCAGCACTTTGGGAGGCTGAGGCGGGCGGATCATGAGGTCAGGAGTTTGAGACCAATCTGGCTAAGATGGTGAAATTCTATCTCTAATAAAAACACAAAATTAGCCAGGCGTGGTGGCACGCGCCTGTAGTTCCAGCTACTCAGGAGGCTGAGGCAGAAGAATCGCCTGAACCCAGGAGGCGGAGGTTGCAATGAGCCAAGATTGCGACACTGTGCTCCAGCCTGGATGACAAAGTGACACTCTGTCTCAAAAAAAAAAAAAGAAAATTGGTGGCTGGGCACGGTGGCTCACACCTGTAATCCCAGCACTTTTAGAGGCTAAGGCAGGCAGATCACCTGAGGTCAGGAGTTCAAGACCATCCTGGCTAACATGGTGAAACCCCGTCTCTACTAAAAATACAAAAATCAGCCAGGCATAGTGGCAGGCACCTATAATCCCAGCTACTCAAGAAGCTGAGGCAAGAGAATTGCTTGAGCCCGGGAGGCAGAGGTTGCAGTGAGTCGAGATCGTGCCATTGCACTTTAGTCTGAGGGACATGAGCGAGACTTGGTCACAAAAACAAAACATTTTTTTTTTGAAGAGTCAGGGTTTTACCCCTGGGTGGAAGTGATCCACCTCAGACACCCAAAGAGCTAGGAGTACAGGCATGAGCCACTGCATTCACCCAGAATCAATTTTTCCCTGCATTACATCTTAGCTCAAACCCAGGCTCAGCAGAAAAGGAAGGCAACTGCAATCACTCTTTTTATTTTCTTTTTAATTTTTTTTTTTTTTTTTTAAGACAGAGTCTCACTCTGTCGCCCAGGCTGGAGTGCAATGGCACGATCTTGGCTCACTGCAACCTCCACCTCCCAGGTTCAAGCCCTGTCTCAGACTTCCGAGCAGCTGGAATTATAGATGCATGCCACTACACCCAGCTCATTTTTGTATTTTTCTTTCTTTTTTTTTTTAATAAAAAGACGGGGTTTCACCATGTTGGTCAGGCTGGTCTTGAACTCCCGACCTCAGGTGATCCGCCCGCCTTGGCCTTCAAAGTGCTTGCATTACAGGCGTGAGCCACCGCGCAGGCCTATTTTTTGTATTTTTAGTAGAGATGGGGTTTTGCCATGTTGGTCAGGCTGTTCTTGAACTCCCGACCTCAGGTGATCCACCTGATTCAGCCTCCCAAAGTGCTGGGATTACAGGTGTGAGCCACCTCGCCTGGCCTAAATCACTCTTTAGGTTTTTTTTTTTTTTTCTTTCCTCTGCAGACCAAAAAAAAAAAGAAAATTCTCCACAATTCAACGTAAGAAAACGAATTGAACCGGGCTCAGTGCCTCACGCCTGTAATCCCAGCACTTTGGGAGGCCCAGGTGGGCAGATCATCTGAGGTCGGGAGTTCAAGACCAGCCTGACAAACATGGAGAAATTCCGTCTCTACTAAAAATACAAAATTAGCTGGGTGTGGTGGCTACTCGGGAGGCTGAGGCAAGAGAAACACCTGAACCCAAGAGTCAGAGGTTACGGTGAGCGGAGATCATGCCATTGCACTCTAGCCTGGGCAAGAGTAAAACTCTGCTCAAAAAACAAAACAAACTGGAATCACCGAGGAGCCAGCTATGTTGAGGATAACAGCGCCTATCACCTTCACCTCTGTTGGATGCCCTCAGAAATTCCAGTGTTGGAGGTGGGGGACAAGGGAGGTTAGGTTTGAAGTTTAGGTTGGCATATTAACAAACCAGATCCCCATTTTTTGGCCGGGTTTGGTGGCTCATGCCTGTAATCCCCACACTTACGAAGGCTGAGGCGGGTGGATCACTTGAGATCAGGAGTTCGAGATCATTCTGGCCAACATAGTGAAATCCAGTCTCTACTAAAAATACCAAAAAAAGAAGAAAAAAAAAAAAAAAAAGCCAAGCGTGGTGGCAGGCACCTGCAATCCCAGCTACTTGGGTTGCTGAGGCAGGAGAATCGCTTGAACCTGGGAGATGGAGGTTGCAGTGAGCCAAGATTGTACCACTGCACTCCAGCCTGGGCGACAGAGCGAGACTTGTCTCAAAACAAACGAACGAACCAAACCAGATCTCCATTTCTCAATGACTTATGGCCCTTGAAGTGAAAGCGGCAGGACCTTTTGGGCCTCCAGTTAGAAGCAGCAAACCACATTTATCCATCAAACTTCACAGTAAGCTCCTAGCTGCCCTGCCCAGGGAGAGGGCCTGACAGAGGGGTACCGTGTGTCCAGGGGTTCACTGAGGAACTGTCTACCCATGCCCTACAATCAGCACAGCACCTGGCCTGAAATGATGGATTTGGAGACAGCTTCTGGGCAGGATGCATACTACAGGGCTCCCCTTTTTAAAAATTAGGAATTATTCCTAGCAAGTTACGTATATTAGAAACTGTTACAAGAAAAAATTACCTCAAACATTCACAGCATTAAACGAATAGGACAAGGTCAGAAAGCGAGGTTTTTCTTCTTTTTACTGGTTTATAATAATCTTAAAAACCCCATCACACCCATAAACCACCACAGGTGAGAGAGATGGAGAATGAATGCTACAGTATGTGGATACAGTGGGGAATCCAGGTATTCCCTAGGGTAGTGTGGGATGGAGACAGGGAGTGTGGAGAGGAGGCCCTGGCTTGGACCCTTATTGCTGGCTGGGGGTTGGCTGGCAGAGGGAAGAGGGACTCAGGCTGAACTGCGAAATAGGGAACATCTCACACCAAAGGCGAGGGCAGTTGGGGGCAGGGGGATCACAGTACATTTTCCATGCAGACTAGGGGTGGGAGAGCTTCAGAGACTTGCACCCCTACACAGGAAGAGATGGGTTTGAGGTTGTTTGACTTAAAGCCCCCAAGATGGTGTCTGGTCCAATTTCCTAAAATGGCAGCTCACCTTTCGGGGAGAGGTATTGGGGAGAAAAAAAAAATACAGCAAGAGTATCTTTTGGAGATCAAGCAAGGGATAGGGGGAAGACAGTGGTGCTCTTTAAATCTGACTCAGAAAAGCAGGAACTGGAAGAGGGCCCTGGGTGAGGTGGTGGCCAATACCGTGGGAGAAGGCATTGAGCCGGAAGCTGCAGGTGCTCCTGAGGGCTCAGGACAGGGAGGTACCAGTGTTCACGGACAGCAGGAAAACAACTGGGAACAATAAATTAGGACTTCATGTTGCTATCATTTGGCATAACACAATCAGGCTTTTTTTTTTTTCCTTTTTCTTTTTAAATATAAGGCAACTTGCCAACACATAATTTAAAAACTGGTCTCCAGTCACATTGCTTCAGATCACTAGAGAACTTCTGGCTAAAGAACAGTAGTGGATTGTGAACAAAATGCAAAATCTTAAATAAGAACCATTAGCTCACATTCTCCAGAGACAAGAGGAAAGGTAAGGGCTTATTTCATCTTTAAAAAATAAAAAAGCCCAACTCTGCATCTTTAACAGAAGAGTGCAAAAATTTTTAACAAAACAACCTAAGTTTAAAGTTACAGAAAAGTGTTAAATTTCTAGCCAACTAATTGTCCTTGGGGATGAGACACGCTGAGCATGGAATGGATGAGGGTACGCTCTAAGAATGGACAGAGGGCAGGAGGGGCTGTTTCCAATGTAGGCCCAGCTCCAGGTGTCACAACCATGCTCATTTGGTAAAGGAAGTATTCAAAGAGCTTAAGGCTTTGTGTTTTTTTTTTTTTTCCTTCATTAAACTGAGGGGCTGCACTACAGGGTGAATGTACCTGTGGGGCCACTCACACACAATGCTACTCAAACCCACACTACATTCATACAGAAACGTAACATTTAAAACTTACAGTGTAGAGCAATATTCTTAGCCAGTGTAGAGAGAACCAAATGCTTGTTTTTTTTTTTTTGGTGTTTTTAATCCCAAACTCCAATGTGATCATTCCTTACCTACCTAATTCCTCAAGGTAGACTTTGTTTGGTTGAGGGGGAAAGGACAGGGGCTGTGGGCAGCAGGTGAGTTAGAGGACAGGCAACAGTGAGAAAGGGATCTTGGGTATGCTGAAAAGTCACTGTGTTTTTCTAGGTTTGGAAAGGGGAATCTGGAACCAAGATGCCAATACAAAGATTCCACCCCCTCCCCCACATATCTCAAATACCTGCAAGATGCCCTTGGGGTCGAGTGTGGCAAAGGCAAGTGCAGTGGCTTCGGGATCAATGTAGTTACACAACAAAGCCTTGAGGAATGGAAAGGAACTCGAAGGATATGAAGACTGGGTCAGCTTTGATTTGAGATCTTTGGGTGAATAAGGAATTAGCTTCCAGAGCACTTGGGAAATCTTGCTTCTTAGTCCTGGGGGAGGCGGGGAGGGGGAAGGGAAGAGCAACAGGTAGAGGCCTGGCTTAGGGGCCTGAGCACCTACACTATCTCAGCTAGGGCATTCCCTCAGCCCACACCTCAGTTGTCCTAAGCGAAACAGGCAGAGGTTCAAAACAAGATGGGTGGGAGCCGGCTGGAAATGGTCAAGGTGGAGAGATGAGCTGACAGGCAGTCAATGGAGAGGAAAGCCTGGGCTTGGGGTTAGGTTCTAACATAAAACCAAAAGTTGCCGGAGGGGAAGATGAGAAGACTCCTTCTGTCCTGTTAGATTCCACCAAATTCCCTTTCTTAGACATCTGAGAATGATCACATTGGAGCAGTGAAACTTTCAAACTATCCAGTTACTTAAAAGACTAAACCTAGGAGGGTGACATATGATGTGTTGCACGTGGAGGGCACCAGGGCTACCTATCTATACCCTGGGTGCTGAATATGAAGACTTCGACTATCTGTGGGATCAGGGGCTCGGTTGCCAGGGGCTCGGTGGGCCTTGTTCAGCATGGCCAGGCTCTGTTCTCGGAAGCAGGCCTGCTGGAAATCCCCACTTAGGTAATCCACTGTTTGCATCAAGCTGTTCTGGCTTGCCACTGGACCGCCCCCGGTCCCTGCTCGGTAGTGGGCCCCAGGAGCGGCCGCACAGTCGAGGGGTGCACCTGTGGGCTGCCCACCGTGGAACGGCATGGCGAGGTCCTGAGACCCCGAGCTGTCGCTATTGGGAGTGGGCAGAATGTTGTTCCACAGGGGTTGGAAGTAGTGACCATTGGGGTAGGCCAATGGGGCTGCCAGGCCGTTGACTGGTGGGGATGGGGTCGGCTTTTCCAGGGGTGGCTTCAGATGGAAGGACTGTGCCAGGCAGAGTTCCTGCGGGTAGGCAGGGGCCTTGCCCACAAAGCCAGGCCCTGCCAACTCGCGTCCTGCCGCATGCTTGCCTGTCAGGCCAGGGGCTGGCGTCCCACCAGCCTCGTTGCACATCTGTTGTAGGTGGGCCAGCTGGTGCTGGTTCCAGGTGACTGGCTTGAGGTCGCTAGGGTAGCCAGTGGGGGCGCGAGAGATGCCTGTGGGCAGGTTAACAGGACCTGCAGCAGGCAACGCGGCGGTGGCCGCATGGGTGTGCTCCATGGGATTGACCACACATGAAGGCATTGGTGTGGGGACGCTGTGGGTTGACACCCGGGTGCTTGCATTGATGAGCAGACTGCGACTAATGGGGCTGGGGTTGGCGATCTGGCCCTCACACACTGAGGTAGTGCTGATGCCTGCCCTCGTCTGGCAAAACTGGTTGATCTGGTGCACGATGCTACTCAGGTCCGGGGGCTGGCTGTGCTGCAGGGTGGCCGCCATTGAAAGGGGGATAGTTGAGGTAGACACGGTCACATTCGGGGGGGCATCTGAGTCTGGCATCTTCCGGCCTCCATGCAGCAAGGGATTATGGGGGTGCTGGAGACCCTGGTGCGCCAGGGCCTGAGGGTGGACCAAACCCTGGGTTTGGGCCATGGGCTGAGGGTGGCCCAGGCCCTGAGGCTGCTGGAGGCTCTGAGGGTGGGACAGTGCCTGGGGTGGTGGGATACCCTGAGGGTGCTGCAGCGTCTGGGGAGGGGCATGGGCCAGGGTCTGTGCATGCTGCAGGGCCTGCTGGCGGGCCAGAGCCTGGGCCTGGGGGTGGGCTAAAGTGCTGGGTGCCACAGTAGCATAGGGTGCCACTGGGGGGTTCATGATGGCCTCAGGGAGCAACCGGGCTCGGGTGCCGTCAAAGTCCTTGAGTATGCTTTTGGCTGGCACTTTGACAATGGCAAGCAGGCCTGCCTTGGTGGCAGCCTGCGTCGGATAGGGGCTGTAGCGCTGGGCTGATGTGTCGAGGCCGTTCACAGTACGACGAACGTGTTTCCGCTGGGGAACCTTCACACTGTTGGGGAAGATTTTTATAGTCAGTGGGTTGTTTGCGACCTTCTTAGCATATGCATCCAATTCGGCTGGGGTAGGATAGTGAGCAGTTCTCATTTTCTGTGTAGTGTCCCCTAGAGAGAGAGAATGGGAAGGAGAGCAAAGAGGGAGAGGGAGCTCATCAGTGCCAAGCCAACCAGCCTTTCTAGACTTCCCTATTGAGGGCCTAGGGTGGGGTGGGGAAGTGACTAGGTTATCATCTGTAGCCTTCATTCTAGACCCAGCTTCAGTCTTCACATTAACAAGCACTGCTAACGTTCAGTAAGTGCCTCAAGTGGACCAGGCCTTGCGCTAAGTGACAGGCCATCTCAGTGAATCCTCACTATTGCTTTAGAAGCAGGCACTAGTATCATTCCCATTTTATAAATGAGCTAACTAGAGATCAGAATAGCAAAGCAGCTTTCGAAGTCTCATCTTGGAGACTCGGAACTTGGCCAATACTCAGAGAGGTAACCAAGAGTTCTCCCACTACATAGAAATGCAGGGTCGCTGGGCACAGTGGCTCACGCCTATAATTTCAGCACTTTGGGAGGCCAAGGCGGGTGGATCACCTGACGTCAGGAGTTCGAGACCAGCCTGGCCAACATGGTGAAACCCTGTCTCTACTAAAAATACAAAAATTAGCTAGTGGTGTGTGCCTGTAATCCCAGCTACTGAGGAGGCTGAGGCAGGAAAACTGCTTGAACCTGGGAAGTGGAGGTTGCAGTGAGTCGAGATTGTGCAACTTCACTCCAGCCTGGGCGACAGAGAGAGACTCCATCTCCAAAAAAAAAAAGCAGGGGCCAGGCACAGTGGTTCACACCTGTAAGCACTTTGGAAGGCCAAGGTGGGCGGATCACCTGAGGTCAGGAGTTTGAGACCAGCCTGATCAACAAGGAGAAATCCCATCTTTACTAAAAATACAAAATTACTCGGACGTGGTGGCGCATGCCTGTAATCCCAGCTACTCGGGAGGCTGAGGCAGGAGAATCACTTGAGCCTGGGAGGTGGAGGCTGCAGTGAGCTGAGATTGTGCCATTGCACTCTAGCCTGGGCAACAAGAGCAAAACTCCATCTCAAAAAAAAGAAAAAAAAAGAAATGCAGGGTCTGTGCTGGGCATGGTGCCTCACACCTATATTCCCAGCACTTTGGGAGGCCGAGGCAGGCAGATCACCTGAGGTCAAGAGTTCCAGACCAGCTTCGCCAACATGGCAAAACACGGTCTCTACTAAAAATATGAAAATTAGCCAGGCGTGGTGGCCGGCACCTGTAATCACAACTACTTGAGAGGCTAAGGCAGAAGAATAGCTTGAACCCACGAGGCTGAGTTTGCAGTGAGCCAAGATTGCACCACTGCACTCCAGCCTGGGTGACAGAGCAAGGCTCCGTCTCAGGGGAAAAAAAAAAAAAAAAGAGAGAAACACAGCGTCTGGAACTCTACCAGCCCATGCGGCCTGACGGTAGAAGGTTCTAAGCAAAGCTACTTGCCAGGGCCCTTGGTCGCCCTTCAGTCTAGAGAGAACCCAGAGCTACAACTCTGCAGTCTGCAGTGACCAATGAGGCATCAGCTTTCCCTTGCATCTTGGCAGCTGGGGGGCTGTGCCAACTGGGTGGGCACCCTGACAGAGTGGACAGAATGCTTCCTTTCAGGAGCAGAGGAATAAGCTGCCAACATCTCTCCCCTTCCCCATGTCACAAGTTCACTTTTGTTTACAGTTTATGCCTGGCTGGGTGAGGATCAAAGGCTTTATTTATTTCCTTGAGACGGATGGTAATAATGACAGGACAGCAGGGAAGGGAATTGAGAAGAAAGGATTCAGAGCATCTTTCAATCCTAAGAGCCAAAAATAGCGTGTATTTGGTCCATATTAGCTGTCACTTTCCAAAAAGAAAGAGGAAAAACCTGCCTTCCTTTGGAGACTGCGGAAATGCCCACTCGGTGTGCCTCATTAATGTTAAGAGTCTTTGTTCCCATCTCCTGTTGCCTCCCATCAGGGGGCTCAGCGGATGTCCGGCTTCCAGTCAAAAAGGAAAAGGTTCCAAGAACAAGGGCTCTTTAAGGATGCCAAGCTCCTGCAAGGGGGCTGGGGCTCTGCTCTACTTTCTCTCTCTCTGAGGGAGGGTCTCCCCTGAGTTTACACAAAAGGTGCTTAATAAATGCTTGCTGACTGAGTACATAGACTGTCCAAAGCAAAACTGGCTTGGCTGGGAGCCCAGGGTTAGCTAGCTGACTCTCTCCCTACTTCCTCCCCTTGCAAAAGGCAGCCAGACTAATCTGACTGAATGCCCAGCTTGTGGCCTCAGGTGGCCTTGGCCCAAAGGAGACCCCATTCAAAGTCATGTCACTGGGTATCACCTAGAACAGAGGTAGGCTAGTGAGCATATTAGAGGGATAACGGGTACAGCTGCCTTTATTAGGTGATAATGATGTTTAGCAACAGCTTAGAAACTCCTGTTCTGGGAAGCAGGAAAATAAAGCTCAAGTCAGGAGGGGCGAGAGAGATTTGGGCCCATGCTCACAGGCAGATCTGAGCAAAAAATAGCCAGACATCCCAACCCCCAAAAAAAGATCTGGGCTTTCAAATACTGGCAAAAATGTCTGGGATCATTGACTGAGAGACAGTCCCTAAACTCAAGACACCAGAATTCCAAAAGAAATTGCCTTGGTCAACCACTGTACCTATGTGTCTTATTGGTTAAAATTTCATATGATACTCCCAGCACAGCGCCTTAAACTCACCCCACCTTCATGCCGGTGGGCTTCTCTCCTTGAAATCCAAGTAGGAGTCATATGGTACCTTGTTGAATAGAAGAGCCCCTTTGTTCTGAGTCAGTACCAACTCAGGTTTTTCCTAGCAGAGGCAAGGGGAAAGCTTGGCCTCATTCAGGAGTATGGAAGGGGACATTTATCCACATTGATTAGTTATCTTGGTGCCGCCTCCACTGATATTGACAGTGGTGAAGAGGGCAGTCAAAGGATTCAGAATTAAAGTGAAATGAGGGCAGGGAGGGTACAGTAACAAGGCTACAGTAGCTTTGTTAAGGAAGAACCCCAAAGATTAGTACAGTGTACTGAACAAAAAAGGGGTGTCACTCTGGGAATACAGCACCATCTACCTCACATACCAGACTTAAGCCTAACCCTTAAAAAAAAAAGTTTTCTCAACACTTATCACAGCCCCACACAGGCACCCTGACCATTTATTTTCTTCTGTAACCTATTTCTGTAATTGCACAGCCAGCACAGACACCACAGCTTTGTAAGCAACTTACTTAAATATCTTGTACCAATGGTGTCACTAATAGAGACATAGAGAATGTAGGGAATAGGAAATCTGTAAAGTTAGAGAAACCTGTATTCAAGTACTAGCTTTATCATCTGCCCATACTGAGAGCCTGTCATTCCTCAATTATCAACAGGGATGAATTCTGCTTTCCTACTTCACAGACTTACTAAGGTCAAGAGATTCAAGGAACACTGTCACTGAATGAGCATTTTCATTTCAATGTGAACAGGAACTATGATGGTCAATAGTTGCTATTCAAGGATAGCAGATGTGCTGAGTCTGACCACAGGCGACACAAAGCAAACTGACTAAAGAATCCCTAACTGCAGGACCCCTGGCCTTCAGCCTAAGTTAAATGTAACAGAAAGCACTGTTGTCTATTTCAGCGACTGGAAGAAAATTTCTCCTTGAAATCCAGTCCTCCCAATGGAGACCTCTCTGTTCAACCTTCTATTTTGAAGGTCAAAGGGCACAGGTGGCATATGCAGCAGGAACCTCCATCTGTAGGAAGAGGCACAGGCACTGTGTTTCAAACACAGATTTTGGAGTCTGGGCTGAGTATGAATTCTAGTCCAATCACTGGACAGTCATGTGGCATTGGCAATTGACACATCTTCTATGCCTTATCCTTGTAACAGAGTCTCCCATATGGAACTTCTGAGGAATGAGTGAGAACATATGTGAAAATATTCAATATAGTGCTTGGCACATGGTAGCAACTTGACAAATGCTAAGTATTATTTCTATGAGTCTATAGAGCTATTGGGTCAATTTCCCATTTCCAGGCCCCTCCACTAGGGGGCACATAGGCATATAAAGAAGCAGTAAAAGAAGGTGATTTTGGCATTTGTCCCAGGACCCTCAGTGCTCTGCCATGGAAGGAGGTCAAAATTGTTACCTAAAGATGGTTTAACGACCAAGGACCTGTTATCATTTCAGCCATTCAAACAGTAAATATTTACTGAGCCACTACTATATTGTGATCCTGAGGAGGAGAAATACAGAGCAGAGGTTTGGGATTAAGAAAAAATTTCTTAATATTGAAGAATTTGGCTAAAAGAAAAAAGAAAAGAAAGAAAAAGAAGGAGAAAAGTTCAAAATCACACATTTTCTGAGGCATTGGGGTAAGATGGGTCAGATTAAAACAAAATTTCCATGTACAAAGTTTCAAAATGGCTAAGGACTCTCCAAGCAAGTTACGTCATGGAATATATGATTGAGAAAAGCTCTAGGAAGCCATCCATCTAACCTCAACTAACCTAACCCCAACCCAAGATGTTCTTTAATCCATTCAGCCTGCCCTCTGGCAAATCACAAATCTGGGTTAGGAAGAACATTACACTCTCCTACACACATAGAAGAGGAAGAGGAAAACAGAACAAGTTATAAGGGATCAATCCTGTGATTCTGAATATATGGCAGCTGAAGCCTGGGGAAAAGCCATTAGCTAGGTAACTTACAGTGCTGGGGAAAGAAGCCACATTTCCCATCTCCTGATCCCTGGGGTCCACCAATCCTGCCTCATGCTGACTGTATTTATACTATAAAGCATACTGAACTGTAAACACCCATGCCCATCCCACTCCACCAGACATCACGTTTTGTGTTTCTAGCAACTTATAAGACCGTCCTGTGGATAGAGAGTAGGGAATGGCTGATAGCATTATCACAAAACTGTTTTTAAGGTCTCTATTGCTGATGGGCCTGGGCTCTGAGCAGCTGCCTGGCTGCTGGTTCCCAAAGGGGACAGTTTATGCTCTATCTCACCTTAACTGTAAATGCTTAATGCCAACAGCTATAAGTCACATGACATAATTTTTTTCTTACACATTTTAGGGGAGAAAAGAAGACAGCAGACAAGCTTCTTCAAACACAATTAAACTCTTGCTTCTACAAAGGTGTGGGTGTGTTTATGGATAGCAATAAGAGAGCTGAGCTGGAAGGGATCAAACACTTTGTCTGTGAAACGGACATAGGAGCCTAAAACCAGAGAAGACGGAGATCTCAATTCTCAAATCCAGATTTGGGGACAGTGGTTAGCAGAGGCTACTTGGGAGCTGCTTTGGGGAGAAGGGAGTTTTTTTTTTTTTTTGAGATGGAGTCTCGCTCTGTCACCCAGGCTAGAGTGCAATGGCGTGATCTCAGCTCACTGTAACCTCTGCCTCCCGGGTTCAAATGATTCTCCTGCCTCAGTCCCCTGAGTAGCTGGATTACAAGCACCCACCACTGTGCCTGGCTAATTTTTTGTATTTTTAGTAGAGACAAGTTTTTGCCTTGTTGGCTAGGCTGGTTTTGAACTCCTGACCTCAGGTGATCCACCCACCTCCACCTCCCAAAATGCTGGGATTACAGGTATAAGCCACCATGCCCAGCATCTTTTTTTTTTTTTCAGGCAGAGTCTCACTCTTGTCACCCAGGATGGAGTACAATGGCACGATCTTGGCTCACTACAACCTCGTCCTCCCGGGTTCTACGATTCTCCTGCCTCTGCCTTCCGGGTTCTAGTGATTCTCCCACCTCAGCCTCAGGATTACCGGCACCTGCCACCATACCCGGCTAATTTTTGTATTTTTAGTAGAGACTGGGTTTCACCATGTTGCCCAGCCTGGTCTTGAACTCTCGACCTCAGGTGATCTGCCTGCCTCGGCCTCCCAAAGTGCCGGGGTTACAGGCATGAGCCACCAAGGCACAGTAACACCTGTAACACATGAGGTCGGGAGTTCAAGACCAGCCAGGCCAACATGGTGAAACCCTGTCTCTATTTAAAAATACAAAAATTAGCTTGGGGTGGTAACACATGCCTATAATCCCAGCTACTACTCAGGAGACTGAGGCAGGAGAATCTCTTGAACTCGGGAGGTGGAGGCTGCAGAGAGCCGAGGTTGCACCACTGCATTCCAGCCTGGGCAACAGAGTGAGACTCCGTCTCAAATAAATAAATAAAATAAAATAAAACAAAAAGTGCACACCAAGATAAAGCTGCCAATTTGCTTTTCCTTCAAGTGGCTCTTCCCTTGATGTCACATCTTTGGGTAAAGCTGTCAGAGTGTGTTTAGAAAGCAAGCTTCTCTTTGTCATCTTATTGTACGCCTCTAAGTACATTCCCTCACCAGTTGTACCCCAAGAAGCCCAGAAATAGGCACAATGTAGTGAGGATGCTGATTTGGATGGCCAGGGAGTATAACATAACACCTTCATCACCCAATCATCACTTATTAAGATAAAGGCTGGGTTGAGAAAGCTATAGCAGAGCTTGCCTTATTGTGTCAAGCAACTGTGGAAGGAAGACAACCACCTTCAGCTGTTATTACACAGAGCTGGATTCACTGTCCAAATCCCAGAAGTAGTCAGGCTATGAGCCTTATGCTCCCTCAAAGAAATGAAGTCCAGAGCCTGGACCATTTTTAACTTCTGATGGTGATCTCACAGGGCAGGGGCTGGCAAACGACAGCCTGCGTGCCCAGTCCAGTTGCTTGTTTTTGTAAAAAGTTTCATTGGAACACAGACACCCTTATTTGTTTGTTGTCTATGGCTGCCTTTGCCCTACAATGTCAGAGTAGAGTAGATGCAACCGAGACCACATGGCCCATAAAGCTAAAATTATTTGCTATCTGGCCTTTACAGAAAAAGTTTGTTAACCCTTGTTGCAAAGGGTTTAGGTAAGGTGCTAAAGCACCTTTTCTATCAAAGAGAAGGCTAGTGGCCTCACTGATTGCCCCTTTGTGCTCTGAATGGAAGGTCTATTTCAAATTTAGGGCTGTTTTTACACCTGAAGATACTACACGTGGTAATGTGCCAAGAATAGAATCTTCTCCTTGCATATCATGTAGTACAGGGAGAGAAGGAAGGAGTCTGGGAAAATATGAAGTATAAGGTCCCCATTTCACCCACTTAAGACAGGAATCTAACAGTTTTCAAAGGCTCAATCTTGTGGGAAGTGTATTAGCAGGAAAATGCCCAGAGAGAATGAGGAAGCTGGCTCTCCATCTTTTCTGAGGGCAAAAGCTCCTTTACTTCCTACCAACTAAAGTCACACTGGCTCAGAAGGCAGACAGCAAAGCCAAAGGGAACTGTTTCCATGACAGACTGTACTCACAGTTCAAAACAGGAGAACAGCATAGTTTATTTCAGAGTTTTCATTCAATATGAAATGAGTTTTCATTCAATTCCTTGTGAAGGTTCAAAATGAAACACCTTTTTTAAGGGTGATATATATATTTCCTCTGAAGCTCTTTATAGTTTTGTTGCTCAACAGAAAGCTATCAGCAACAATTAAAATTGACATATATTGGGGAATTACAGCATTTAAGAAGACCCCTACCGCCTGGACATAGTGGCTCACACCTGTAATACCAGCACTTTGGGAGGCCGAGGCAGGCAGATCACCTGAGGTCAGGAGTTCAAGACCAGTCTGGCCAACATGGTGAAACCCTGCCTCTACTAAAAATATAAAACTTAGCCGGGCATGGTGGCGGGCACCTGTAATTCCAGCTATTCGGGAGGCTGAAGCAGGAGAATTGCTCGAACCCAGGAGGTGAAGGTTGCAGTGAGCTGAGATCGTGTTACTGCACTCCAGCCTGGGTGACAAGAGCAAGAATCCAACTTAAAAAAAAAAAAAAAAAAAAAGAAAAGAAAAAAAATGGAAAGTGTCAAAATTCAAGGTCAACATACCCCAGATGTGTCTCAGGGACAGCCCACATGTAGGTACAAAAACAAAGACTCACACAGGTTTCCCTAGGATACAGATTACTTACATTTCTGAAGTCCAGTGTTCATCTGCGTGTGACAAAGAAGCTGAAAGGACGGGTCACCTGGCCCTGGTAGACAGGCTAGCATGGCAGACCGGCATCAACACAACATGGGGCAGTGGCTCACACTGTAACGAACAAAAACAAGGTCATGAAATACAAGGCAACTCATTCGTAAAAGACAGTAGGAACACTGCATATGAGTAGCAGAAGGCCCAAGTTTAGACAGATAAAGCAATTTAATTAGCAGTGTGTTGGCTGAAAATATGTTTATATCTTTACCTGTGGTAACAATTTGCTGTCAACTATCACTATGGCTAAAATGATTTTTCAGTTACCACAGATGTATGGGTGGGAGAAATAAAACTGGAAAGTACCTATTCATACAACTGGAAAGAACAGGCGCATTTGTAAGGTCTCAGTATTCTTGAAGAGAGCGGACTCTCATAGGGCCTGGCTCAGCCCATTTACAGCCCTGGGTTGAGACCAGTCAGACATTTTTAGAGGCAGCATAGTATATTATTGCAAAGGTACCCAATGTCTGACTTGTGAGCCAGTAATATGAACTCACTTTTAAATAGAAAGAGGAAAGCATCCTAGGAGGCACAATTAACCACTGATAAAAGCAAATTCTGTTTATCAGTTTCTGGGGATTCACCATTCCTTTTTGTCTATCATACAATAAGACCTCCTGAACCAACCCCAATCGCCAAAAAAAATGCATTGTTCACTGACTAAAGCAAGGAGACGATAGGCTGCCAGCAGCTCTCTTTGTACAGGCAGTCCTGGCATGTCAAGATGGCATGGGTTTCATTAGTAATGTTTACCAACCAGACACACACAGCCCAAGCAAGCCGACATTGATGTGGCCTTCTGTGCGAAGGAAGCCCTGTCAACAATGCCAGCTCCTTATGTACCAGAAATGCAATTTTCCTAAATAAGCAGAATGTGGTGAAGTACATAAACTTCTAAATCAAGGTGGCAAAATTATGGCTTTAGATCACAGCAAAAAAAGGAATGGGAGCAAAGCTCAAAAGTTAAACAAAGACAACAAAAACCTCTTTATTTTCTTTAGAGGGCTCTCTCGGGTAAATGAAACTACCTTGTCACGATGAGTATCAGAGGGCTCCAGCTTGCAAGACCAGGTAGCTGAAAAGCTACTTTGTAAAAGAGGCTGCTCAAACTATGTCTAAGATAGCAACTGCAGAAAGAACTGAAGAGTAAATGACTTAATGAGAATAGAGTTGTCCATGAGACCAGCCTGGCCAAAGTGGTGAAACCCCATTTTTTAGTAAAAATACAAAATTAGCTGGGCATGGTGGCACATGCCTGTAATCCCAACTACTTGGGAGGCAGAGGCAGGAGAATCACTTGAACCAGGTTGCAGTGAACCAAGGCTGAGCCATTGCACTCCAACCTGGGTGACAAGAATGAAATTCTGTCTCAAAATAAAAAAAAAAAAGGTCTTCTGTTGGGGTCAAGTGACTGAAGTACTGCTCACAATCCCTTCCCTTGTGGATGCTGATCTTTACATAATAACTTCCCCCTTAAGGTCCTAATACAGCTGAAGGCAAACTCCAAGGAAAGAAAGGGAATTAACAAGTACTGGGAGTTAAAACTGTGAAATGGGCTGTATGAGGGGCTTTAGTGATGTTTTCTCAATTGAGTCTCCCAAGCTTTCTTGGAAAAAGGTAACAAACTTCACCTGTCATCTCATCTCTAGCTGGGATTACTATTAGCCTTCTAAATGGTCTCTATGTTCCACCCTTACCCTTCATCACCCAATCTATTCTCTATTCAGCAACATTCTTTTTTTTTGAGACGGAGTCGCCCAGGCTGGAGTGCAGTGGTGCCATCTCGGCTCACTGCAACCTCGGACTCCTGGGTTCAAGCAATTCTCTGCCACAGCCTCCCAAGTAGTTGGGATTACAGGTACCTGCTACCACACCCGGCTAATTTTTGTATGTTTAGTAGAGATGGGGTTTCACCATCTTGGCCACGCTGCTCCTGAACTCCTGACCTTGTGATTCACCCACCTTGGCTTCCCAAAGTGTTGGGATTACAGGTGTGAGCAAATGCGCCCAGCCAATTAATTATTTTAATTGGAAATCAGAGCATCTCAAATATCTCTAATGACTTTCCATCTGAGGACAAAATACAAAATCCTAACATGGACCCCAAAGCCCTCCATTATCTATTACTACCGGCTCTCTGACCTCACCTTCTGACCAACCCTGCCCTCTCTTGCTGACTTACTTTTATTTTTTATTTATTTATTTTTTTTGAGACGGAGTTTCGCTCTTGTTACCCAGGCTGGAGTGCAATGGCACGATCTCGGCTCACCGCAACCTCCGCCTCCTGGGTTCAGGCAATTCTCCTGCCTCAACCTCCTGAGTAGCTGGGATTACAGGCACGTGCCACCATGCCCAGCTAATTTTTTGTATTTTTAGTAGAGACGGGGTTTCACCATGTTGACCAGGATGGTCTCGATCTCTTGGCCTTGTGATCCACCCGCCTCGGCCTCCCAAAGTGCTGGGATTACAGGCTTGAGCCACCGGGCCCGGCTCTTGCTGACTTATTACTTCCAGCCACAGTGGTCTCCCTACAGCTCCTTCAACAGCCAAACACACTTCCGCTTCAGGGCTTTGTCCTTTCCATTCCCTTGGCCTAGAATGTTCTTGCCCCAGGTGTCTTTCTAGTTCTCTCACTTCATTCAGGTTTCTGCATGAATGTCACTTCCTAAGGGAAGGGCTTCTTTGACCTCCATGACTTAAGCAGTATCCTTATATCTCTCATTTTTTTCTTTTAAAATCTGTCCTGAGACCCTGAACTCGACACTTCCTCCCAAACAATTCTCAGGCTCAGGCCCTTCCTGTTGCTAACTCCTCTATTTCCGTCACTTTTTACCACCATCATTAGGCTGTTTTATTTCCATCTCTCTCCACCCCACTAGGATATAAACTCCTTAAGAACAGAACTTTGGTTCGTTTTGTTCATTATTATATCTAGAAAAGCATCTACTAACACTTAGTAGGCTTTCCATAAATAATTGTTGACCATATAAAAGGCAGATTGTTATTAATTTGTGAGGTTGTCATTTAACCTACAGATGTCATTAATCTATTAATGATGGCAGAGCCCAGGATTGAAACCCAGATTTGACTTTTGCCAAAGCCTATGCTCACTCTTTAACTCTAGGCTATTATCAGTTTTCTTTTTTTTCTTTTTTTTTTTTTGAGACGGAGTTTCGCTCTTGTTACCCAGGCTGGAGTGCAATGGCGCGATCTCGGCTCACCGCAACCTCCGCCTCCTGGGTTCAGGCAATTCTCCTGCCTCAGCCTCCTGAGTAGCTGGGATTACAGGCACGCGCCACCATGCCCAGCTAATTTTTTGTATTTTTAGTAGAGACGGGGGTTTCACCATGTTGACCAGGATGGTCTCGATCTCTTGACCTCGTGATCCACCCGCCTCTGCCTCCCAAAGTGCTGGGATTACAGGCTTGAGCCACCGCGCCCGGCCATTCACACTTTTTAATAAGAGTTTTTCAAGGCCCTTCCTTCTACACATACATCCATCAAGTGTCATGCAAACTCTATGTTTTAAAAGAAAGCCTTGTTATATCTTCCAGAGTGTAAGTTTTGACATTCTTTCCTAACATCAAACAGTTTCAAATGACATTACAAACTTTAGCTCCAGCTTCCTGAAAAGTAGTACCCACTATAGCTAGTTTCTCCACGTTCACACCAACAGCAGCTGGCCAGCAGGGACTTGGTTATTCGATAGCAGAATGGTTTTCAGAAACAACCAATGAAAAGCTTTCTAGTACAAGAATGACATCTATATATTCCCACTTTCCTCTTCTTTCCTATTTAGTGGGGTCTGGGAAGTTCTAGTGATAGAACTGTGTTATGACCCTTTTGCAAGCAGCGATCAACTTATCCCCCTTCCTAAAACCAACATTAACAAAAACTAGACTCTTAAACTGCATTGGCATATTCCTTGGCAACTGATTCAATCAAATTTTTATGTAGCCAAGCCCATGAAGATAATCAAGGAAACTGATACACCCTTAGAAAGAGTACTCAGCAACAAAGGATACTAAGGTGAGCAACAGCCAGAATGAAAGCAGCAACAAGTCACCTGGAAATCTAACAGCGCCAGCTGGAATCAACTTGTCTTTTGCATTTTAAACATATTAAGATTTTGCTTATACCCCTAACATTTTAAAAAACAATAAAAAGTACAAATAAAATTTTAAAAATATTTTGCTTGTAACTCCATTCACTTTTCAGGGTACCCATCAAAGAACAACACTGAAGGGAAAGTCTGAAGAAGGCAGAAAGAGACTTATGAGTCTTCTTCAGAGAAAGGCAAAATATTTCCCCTGTTTCTATCCCTCTTTATCCATCTTATAAGGGTTGTTTCCAAAGATATGTAACTTTCTATTAAAACAACATACTTGGCTGGGTTCGGTGGCTCATGCCTGTAATCCCAGCACTTTGGGAGGTCGAGGAGGACGGATCACCTGTACTCGGGAGTTCAAGACCAGCCTGACCAACGTGGAGAAATCCCATCTCTACTAAAAATACAAAATTCGCCAGGCATTGGTGGCACATGCCTGTAATCCCAGCTACTTGGGAGGCTAAGGCAGGAGAATTGTTTGAACCTGTGAGGCAGAGGTTGCAGTGAGTTGAGACTGTGCCACTGCACTCCAGCCTAGGCAATAGAGTGAGACTGTTTCAAAAAAAAAAAAAAAAAAAAAAAAACAAAACCTAAAATTCCTATACAGCTAAAGAAATATGTCCTCAGTGTCCTACTGATTTCTTTTCTTTTTGAAATGGAGTCTCACTCTGTCACCTAGCCTGGAGTGCAATAGTATGATCTCGGCTCACTGCAACCTCTGCCTCCCAGGTTCAAGCAATTCTCCTGCCTCAGCCTCCTGAGTAGCTGGGATTATAGGTGGATGCCAACATCTCCAGCTAACTTTTGTATTTTTAGTAAAGACAGGGTTTCGCCATGTTGGGCAGACTGGTCTTGAACTCCTGACTTCAAGTGATCCGCCTGTCTCAGCCTCCCAAAGTGCTAAGATTACAGGTGTGAGCCACTGTGACTGGACTTCTTTTGTTTTTGAGACAGGTTCTCATTCTGTTGTCCAGGCTGGAGCACAGCGATGCAATCACTGCAGCCTCGACCTCCCAGGCTCAGGTGATTATCCCATTTTAGCTTCCTGGGCATCTAGGACTACAGAAACATGCCATCACACCCAGCTAATTTTTAAAAATATTTTTTGTAAAGAAGGAGTTTCACCAAGTTGCCCCAACTGGTCTCAAACTCCTGGTTTAAGCAATTCATCTCATCCTCCCCCAAATGCTGGGACTACAGGCACTGGATTACAACCAATGTCCTATTGATTTTTTTTTTTTTGAGAGACTTTTGCTCTTGTTGTCCAAGCTAGAGTGCAATGGCTCACTGCAACCTCCACCTTCTGGGTTCAAGCGATTGTTCTGCCTTAGCATCCTGAGTAGCTGGGATTACAGGCGTGCACCACCATGCCCGGCTAATTTTTTGTATTTTTAGTAGAGACAGCGTTTCACCACATTGGCCACGCTGGTCTCGAACTCCTGCTCTCAGGTGATCCACCTACCTCAGCCTCCCAAAATGCTGGGATTACAGGCGTGAGCCACTGCGCCTGTCCTGTCCTACTGATTTTTAAAGTGCCCAAACCAAGTTTTCTTTTGCATTTAGAAGAGAATTTAAAATGCCATCAGAAAACTAGACTGTACCTTGCCAATTACTATAATCTCAAAATTAGCATATATTGCTGTGAATGACATTTAGTTTTATGTCAAAGTATTCTCCTATGATAAGCAACAGTGAACTCAAGTGTATGATCTTAGAATATAAAAAGCCATTGGCCGGGCACGGTGGCTCAAGCCTGTAATCCCAGCACTTTGGGAGGCCGAGGCGGGTGGATCACGAG